CCTTTGACAGGAAGCTAAAGAATAAAACAAACAAGCAAACAGAACAAAAACAAAGACACTGAAATAGAGAACAAGTGGGCAGCAACCAGAGGGGAGAAGGAAGGGAACTTAAGGGGAAAAAGGGGGAGGGATTTGGAGGAACAAGTATGAGGGACGCAGAGATGAGGACTGGGGGGGGGTGGGGGAAATGGGAGGGAGCGGGGAGACCGGGCGGGGGGGTGGGGTGGGATGGGAGAAATAGATTAAAAAAAATGTACTTGAAAAGTAACTAAATAAAATTTAAAATTAAAAAAAAACAAACAAAAAAACCAACAAAAAAAATCCTGAGTGAAAAAAACAGCACATTTTCTTTTCATTTCAAGTTTAACAAGGGTTGAAACAAAACTAAATTCTAATAACTGCATGGAAAGAATATATCAATCCTTCAGCTTTATAAGAAAAAGAAAAACCAAATCCTGAACTATTATTTCTGACTTGTTCTGTGCACAGGAGTAATTATTTTAATCTATTGAAAAATGGATATGACAATACTAGAAAGAATATGTTGGGAATATGTGTATGTGTGTGTATGTTTTTATTTAAAGAATTGTGTGGCTAAAGATCATTAAATTAAATTATCTCTATAGCAATTGCCTTTCAGTCTCTTTCTCCCATAGCACACATCTTTTTGAGCATTAATTTCCCACTTACTTTTTTTTTCTCCCCATCTGGACTATGAGTTCCTTCAAGGCAGGGCCTACTGTTATTCAGCTTTGAATCCCTAGGTCTGCAATAGTACCTAGAATTTAATAATTCTCATTGAGTCTAGTAAGGAATACATGACTAAGCAGTCATTTATATCCAAACAATCAGTAGGACAATTTAAGCTATTTTTATCATCACATACAGTTGGTAGCAATAACTTTGTGTCTTTAAAAAAAATGACTAGTTTATCTTGCTTCCTATTTTCTCTCCAAGGCCTACCACGCTATCTAGCATAAAATAGGTAATTAATAAATTTTTTAAATGTTCACTGACTTCAAAAGTTAAAGTGTTACTAACTTAGGTTTATCTTTGTCTAGTGAATGTGATTTGAAAAGATTTTTACCACTTTATGTGAGTAAAAGAGCGAGATAGAAATGTTGCAGAATACAACCCCCAACTGAAGCCTCACTATCATTCATTTTTAAAATTTTATTCCCTAAACATTGATGGTGATATACATTTAGGTACATATGATATACTTGCAGTAAATAAATAGTTTTATTCAGGAAAAACATATGCTTGCTCAGCTCTTTATTACAGGGAAGTGCAAAGTATCACACAGTGAAGTAGCTTTTCTCTGAGGGCCCTGGGATCAGTGTATGATTGATGTGAATCTAAAGGGAGAATATATGCTACTACATTCATACCCAAACCTCAACCTTATTACTAGAGGTATGATGTAAATGAATAGCACTGCAGCATTTCCTGCTAATTTACTTCTCCAGGCAACTTGTGATGGATAGTGTTTGTTTCAGTGACCAGGCCCATGTCCTTGGGATTTCCTAGGCTCTAACAACACTAATAATCACCATGGATTAGGGACTTACCACATCTCATACTCTGTGGCAGCCTCTTTCCACAAATTAGCTCATTCAATCCTTATTGAAAGCCTTTGAAATCTATCTAAGCCTTTCCCAGTTTTTTTCTAGTGGAGTAAATGAAACAAAGTAATACACTTGCCATCATCAGCAACTGAGTGGTGGAGTGCACAATCAAAACCACTTTTGTATGACTTGGAAATCTAGTCTTTAATTAGTACAATACTTTGCTTTTTTATTTGAAATATAACTGACACATACACTAGCCATTATATTAGTTTCAGGTATATAATATAATAATTCAGTAATTATATATGTTGCAAAATGATTACCACAATAAATTTAGTTAATATCCATCTAATCTATACTTTTCTTGATGGTTAATTTGACTTTAAAAAATCCTCAAATACTGCAGGTTAATTTGAAATAAAATACTGACATATCTATCAGTGTTAAAGAACTTCTAATTTTGTAATTTGATCTCTGACGGATTTTATAGTCTTAAATATAAGAAAAAACAGGCAAAGTGACTTGTTTTAAATGACACTCTATACTGACAGACCTAAAACCAGCACTCATTCATTTATCATTTGTTTTGCTTCCTTAGGCTGGGATTAATTTATCATTCATTTAAACCATGTTTGTTTTGTTTGGTCAGCATTCCAGAAGCCCAGTACTTACTTGTTGAACAAATGCACGAATGAGTTGAGGCTGACAATGTATCCAGTACTAGAACTGGGGACACAGATCTAAAAAGCACACGTGTTTACCCTCAAGAAGCTGACAGTCTAACAGGGAAAACTTGCACAAATGATATCATGGATAAGTGCCTGACTGCCTTAAAGGATGATCAGAAATATTTGGAGGTTACGTCTAGGTGTATAAGGACCTACCCATTGTTTGGTGGTGCTGGAAGAGTGGAGGGAATTCAATTCTGGATACCTTATATGCCACCAGAGAGGGCTCAGTTTTATTCTGTTGGGAAGATATTTAAAACAAAGAAAGAAGATGGTCAAACCTGTATTTTTAGAATGATCCCTGGGGTGTTTGTATGGTGAATTGGCAAATTGACAATTTGGGATTTATAGTATGATGCTTAAGAGATTAATGTGGCCTGTTCTAGAGTCCCTGTAGTAGAATTGGTGAGGAGGAGAAGGATTTAAGAAGTATTTAGAAGACCAGGACTGGAGATGAGAATTCAAAAGAAAATCATTAGCTTACCCATGGTAATCGATGCCCTAATAATCAATGAGATTTCAAGAGAGTTCAGAGAGTTGGGAATTAGGAAGACAAAGATTCAATGGACAGGAAGAAGGAGAGTTGCATGCATAAGATAATAAGTAAAAATACTCATAGATTGTGTGGTTTCTCATATATAAGCCAACTAACAGATGCTTGAAGAAGAGAAACATGTTCTGTGGTGTGAGTCAATGGAAACAATAGTTTCACACTAATTTTTTGAGACTTCCAGATGATAAAGTGGGTAGATATTGAGTAGCACTAAAGGAGAATGTGGAAAGCAAGTGAAGGTTTGAGCTTTGTTTTAATATGGGAGATAACTGTAGCAGGCTCACAGATTGAAGACAAAGAAATAACACAGGTCCTCTAACTCCCCACACAATGTTCTCTATTCACGTTCTCAGCTACTTGGATCCAAAAGTAGTGTTCTGTTTGAGTCTTCCGGGCTACATCAGATTGTCCCCTTATCTAATTAAAATGTTTACACTCCCTGTCATCTTAGAAACACTTTCCAGAAGCAATGAATTCTATAATGAGATTCCTATAATGAGAACCCAGTCAAGGGAAGGAATATTATCTCCAATACATATTATGGGCAGACAGTTAATATTTGCTGAACAAACATGGTGATGCAGGTCATCTCTGAATGCATCATAGAACTCATGAGTCTTTCTTAAAGCCATTGTCTCATTCTGCCTGTATTACAGTTAGTATTGCATCTTACCTCCACATCCTAAATCTCAGACTTCCCAAGGGCAGTATATAATCATTTGCATATGTCTTGGGCACTCAAGACAAACACTCAGCAATACTTGGCAAAAAATAAACATTAATGCACATTTACCTGAATAAGTAATAAAGAGCCAAGACTTCAGTCATTTTTGTCTTATTTTGAAAGAATGGGTTTCTACATCTTGTTGGCATTTTCAGTCTATTTTTTCTATCTGCCTTATAAAAAAATAAGCCATTGACCCTAACACAACTCTCATATTCCACCTCAACTTCTAAGTACCTTTAAATCTGCTAGTAGTATGCTACTATTTTAACTCCAGCTTCCTTACTTCATAGTTTTATCAATTTCTTAAAGTCAGTTTCTGTGAATTAAAGAGGTGGGTAGCATGTTGCCATATGTAGTTGAAAAAAGTTCTCTAATTGATAATTTTATGCCCTCTTTCATGCTCTATTTTGACAGAGTAGAGAATGGAAATTAGTGGGAAAGAATCTGCCATGGTAGAATGAGTAACTGCATTCTCTACATGTTATTTTTTTCTAGCATGTATTCAATTGTGGTATAATTATTTGCGTATGTCTTTACAACCCTGATGTGGTGGACCCTGGCCAGCAGAGTCCACCTGTTGTGGCTTATGGAGAGAATGAATGCACAGGCAACAACAATCCTGTGGAGAAAAAGGGAGTAGGCATGACTACTCTCTCAAGGAGAGAGTGCCTCTGGGTGCCTCAGCCACTCCCTCAAAATGGGAGGATCCTGACCCTTGCTAGCCAAGCTCTTATTGTTTTCCTGGGGTCTTACATCATATAAAGATTTATTATCTATTACATAGAATATCATTGTCTAAATTTTAGGTACAATCAAGAAAATGAAAATAATATGTAGAGGGGAATGATGATGAGCTGATTAGCTCTGTCCTTCGGAGAACTCATATAGGCTTTGGAAATTATTTTGAAGATAGACAATACATATTTGTTGTTTTAGACCAGAGTGATGGAGTTTTAGCAAGAGCAAGTTATAACACTCTGTATGCATTTTCTAGGCCTGATTCCCACAGGAAAACTCAGTTTGAAGATCTGGCTCCTGCCCACCACTTCACTTCTGTACATTTCCCATACAGAGCTGAATCACATTTGCCAGGCCAAAACAGATGGGTCCCCTACACCCTGATGCTTGCAGGACCATGTGACATTTATCATTTCTTCAAACTCTCTTGGAATACCTGGCACATAATAGACAATCATTGAAAATTTACTGAATTAAGTTCAGAAGTAAAACAAGTAGTAGACTGGACCTTTAGAGCTGTGAAGATTATACAGATTAGACTTGTGTTCAGTCTAACCCAAATAGCAGGAGTGGTGGGGGTTGATATTAAATTTAAACTTTGAGAACTCCTGAGTGTTTTCAACCTTGTGGTATCTCAACTGCCTTTTCTAAACACAGTATTTTCCCCTCTTTCCTTTCCACAGGTTGGACTCAGATCTGTGATAGAGCAATTTCCTGGAAAGCTTGATTTTGTCCTTTTGGATGGGGGTTTAGTCCTAAGCCATGGCCACAAGCAATTGATATGCTTGGCCAGATCTGTTCTCAGTAAGGCAAAGATCTTGCTGCTTGATGAACCCAGTGCTCATTTGGATCCAATGTGAGTTTCAGAATTCCTGCTATTTAATAACACAGTGGGAGCAGAATCATTGAGTCATACTTTATATTGACACAAATTCCCATTAGGCTGTCATGCCTTCAAGTGGAAGAACCCCCTTTAGCCATGAAATAATTGCCCAGTGGAAAAGTCACCATTTGACATGAGCACAAGTGCTTATTTCCTAGTATAAGAGCTGCGTGTTCTCTTCTGAGTGTACTTTGGAATTTCATACCAACTCTCCCCCTTGTCAACACATGATGAAATATTTAGTTACATAGGCGTAATCTGATTCTTATGATTTTTGTTTTTATTCCACTTACACAATAGGAAATATAGCACAAAAGAAGTATAGTGATATATATAATGGAAAAATGTACCTCTGTGAAATTTTTTTCAAAACTTTTGTCCTAATTTATTGATGAAAACTTTGAGTCTACCCCATTGTTGGAAAGCTGGTTGTGGTTGACTCTAGAGCACAATTATGTTAAATGTATTTAAAGAAAAGTAGGTAATTTTAAGAACTAAATAGATAGGACAGTAGGTACATAAGTAAGGGTAAGGGAAAATTATTTGATGTTCTGTGATGATATGTGTGGTATTTTCTTTCTTTTCTAGAACATATCAAATCATTCGGAGGACCCTAAAACAAGCATTTGCTGACTGCACAGTGATCCTCTCTGAACACAGGATAGAAGCAATGTTGGAATGTCAACAGTTTTTGGTGAGTGTTTATAATTTACTTAAGATCTCATTTCTCTAATCCTTAATAACTATCTCTTATGTGATAGTTCCTTCAAGTCACAATAATGTACAATTTCTGCATTAAAACATGTGTCATGTAGCCATTTAGTTAGCTTTACTCAAAATAGCTGCACAAGTTTCTCACTTTGATCTGAGCTATGAGATAAGGTTGGAATTCAATAGATCCAAAAGAGCAGCATATTACTAAGTTATGTTAATAAATTGGAACATCTGTACTTCTTGAATCCTTTATTTGGGGATCAAGTCAGAAGAAAGACTGATGCTTTTAATAACTAAATCTTCCTTGCATGGGGTCCAGGACAGGCCTGGATTGTCTAGCATCTCATGTTTTAATATAATAGTTGAAAGGCTCATTTCATTTTTCTAATCATGATTAGAAAAATTGGAGCTCATGATTGGAGCTCAGGTGAGTGCCTCTCCCAACCACTTTCTCATTGTGCTTTTAAAACTGTCACAGATTCTTTCAAGTGATGTTTACAAATTCCCTCAGGTTTAGTCACAAGGAAGTTCTTGGGATGATGTATTATGTCATTTCTGTTAAAACTTTTGAGGTCGCTGGAGGTAAATGCTTCCTTACTGAAGGATTGTTATTACCTTTATTATTACTGAGCTTCAGGTGACAAATTAGGGGGCTGACTCACAACCTCTTGCCCTACCATGATCATGTTCAGGAAATTGGGTAAAACCTTTTTATTCTCTGATTTGGGGTTTGCTCAACTTGAACATGTGAAGAATGCATATTAAACTCAAGCACATCTTGATCAGTTTGGAATTAATCTCCAAATCCCCTGTTGAAGAGGTTCAACTATCATGCTGTGGACTTCCACTAATTTTTAAGGTGGTTTCTATAAGGGATCTAAGAAAAAGCATTCTAGTTTACAAAGCCCCCTTAGTTCCTCCAAAGTTATGTGAAGAAGTGTAGTGCTCAGTAAAATCCTTGTTTAAAAAATCTTCCAGCTGCTAAGTAGAAAGTTACAGGTAGTTTCAAGATGGTGAAAGCTCAGTAAAGCAAGAGGATGAAGGACTCATGAATGAAATGAAATATCCATGACTGCAATATTCAAACTGCAAGCCTCTGCACACTGCTTTCCCTTTAGCTTTTACATTCCTCTAAACCTATGTCACTTTCTGTCCTTGTTCTGGTCCTGCCTTGTCTCTGAGATCTCACTAACAGCCACTTCCCTAGGTCATAGAGGAGAACAAAGTACGGCAGTATGATTCCCTCCAGAAACTGCTGAGTGAGAAGGTCCTCTTCCAGCAAGCCATGAGCTCCTTGGACCGCCTGAAGCCCTTACCCCACCGAAACTCAAGCAAGCACAAATCTCGACCCAAAATCACTGCTCTGAAGGAGGAGACAGAAGAAGAAGTACAGGAAACAAGGCTGTAGAAAGCAATATGAATATTCGCATTGAATGCTCACTCACAGAGTTGTAGGAGAAAACAGTTTATGCCTCAGAAAACAAGCATGTTATATTTCAAAAAGAAACATTTTGGTAAGAGGCATTGACAATGTTCACATAGCCAGGATAAATTGCTTCCTGGCAATGGTAAAATTGTGTGAAAGGTAGTTCAAATCCTTGAAGATTTACCATTTGTGTTTGCAAACCAGGTTTTCTTGAAAACTTTTTCCCTTTGGCAGTTATTTGAAAGGGGACTATAAATGTCAACCAGCTTTAGTTCAACTTACTGTTTAGTGAAATTTCTTGATTTGCATTATTGGAGAACTATAATAATACTATTTAGAGATACGATTAACTGAAAACTTTAGTGGTTTATATTGCTTTTTCTCTACTCTCTCCAAGATATTTAACAACAACACTGTATATTCTGATAAGTTTTCAGACTGTCCCATTCCAAGCGAGTATTAGAATACTGTGAGAGTCACAGGACAGTTTATCAAAATATATAACTACAACATCTAGGTATCAGTCAGGACAGAGGACTTCCTGAATCCTAGAAATCGGGGTTAGTACCATTCGGCTCTACCAAAAATCCAAATAATTCAGATAATCATAATATATTCTTTACCTGGAAAAGGGACTCTTATATCATGTAGGGGACAGAATAGCTCCCTTCATGTAGAAGTTGACATGCCTTTCCCAAGCTTCCAGAAAGTAACAAGGTCATAAAACATCCGAACTGAAGGATGGCTAGAAAATTGGTGCAAAAAAAAAATCCTTCTTATCACAGAAATTCCACGTAGTGAACACACAGGCAGCTGAGCTGTGGGGACTGCAGGTATTTGTACCTGAAATCTGAAAATCTAGGTATAAATGAGGTCTTGTGTTTTCAGACTTACTATATGCACTTCTTACTGTATATACTGAGTGGGAGAGGGAATGAGAGACACACTGAAGAAAAATCAATCATGAATTAACTTTATATGCTTCTGTTTTATAATTTTGTGATGCAAATGAAATTTTCTATAGGAAATAGTATTTATTCTAATTATGTGTCAAGCTCATATAAATGGCTATATTTTAAAAATGATGAATATTATGAATTATATTTGTATAAAAATTTATATTTGAAGTTTTGACTTTTAATGGCATTAGCTATTTTTATGATATGTTTAAACTGGGGGAAAACTTCAGGTGATGTTGACTGGGGGCTATGAAGTACCTTGAGGGTGTGGAGAGAAGCATTAGGGCTCACTCGGTTGTTGTACACTTCTGGGTAATTCGCAATGAGCACATAGGTTCCCTCTAGGGGAAGCTCTAAAGAAAATAGTACCACAGAAGCTGACTACTCCTATTAAGGACACACAACCTTCCAGCTTCAACTAACCCTAAAGATTTAATTCTATGTGTTATTGTCAGAAAAATATTACTTGTCAATAAAAACCATATATTTGTGTGAAACTTAGCTTTTTTCAGATGTGTTCATTGATTGTGTTTCTTCAATCTCTAAGGATCATGGAGCACAAACCATGAAACTTCTTTTAGTGGTTTATATTGCTTTTTCTCTTGAGAATCTCACATGAATTGAGACACTCTTAAAATTATTTCTTTTAAAAATTGGGGTAAAATGTGCATAACCTAAAATTTACCATGTTAACCATTTTTAGTGGTCTTAAATACATTCACATTGTTATATAATCATCATCGCCACCAATTTACAGACCTTTTTTATCTTGCAAAACTGAAACTCTAGCCATTACACAAAAACTCCCCATTTCTCCCTTTTCCCAGCCTGTATCAATTTTACCTCATATGAGTGGAATCATATACTACATATTTATCCTTTTGTGATTATTTTATTTCACTTAGCATAATGTCTTTAAGATTCCTCCATGTTGTAGCATGTCAGAATTTTCTTCCTGTTTAAGACTGGAATAATATTTTACTGTGTGTATGTACCACACTTTGTTTATCCATCCACTTGTCCATGCACACTTAGCATGCCTCCACCTTTTACCATGTTGAATAATGCTTTATAAACATGGGTATACGGATATCATTTTGTGTCCCTGCTTTCCTGAGTTAGGATAGTTGTCAAATTATTTATTCGTTTTAAAATGGGCTTATATAACAACAAAAATACTCTGCAAAGATCCATTTATTTATTTGAAAGCTTATTTAAACAGTGATAGCTATCTGATAGCTCTTGATAAGTGACCAAAGCTTGTCAAGGGAAATAGTGTTTCTACACTAACCTGGGGTGGCTCTTCTTTGTTCAAATCTCTGTTTTTAATCAGTGAAGCTTCTTTGGTCCCTTTTCTTCCTTGCAGAGTTTAATTTTCTTTTCCTGAGGGAAGTCCACGGATGCCTTTACTGCTTTGGGGACGGGGTTGCTCGGGAGCTCTTGGTGGCTGCACAGGACAGCACTGGCCCTGCAGATCACGGCCCATGCACTGATCCTGGTGGTACTTGTTCTAGAGGGTCCTGAGATGCTGCTCAGGGTGGCCCAGGCATTCTCGTTCATGGTGGTTTGCAAAAGGAGGTGACCTGCTGGATCTCCACTATGTTACAGCCACCACACCTTTGCCAGGGGGGTGCAGAAGGAGTGGCGCACCCTCAGATGATTAGGTTCAGCACGGATGTCTGTTCATTCCACTTGATGGGGAAGCTGGAGCAGTTCCACCACTATCCACTATAGGTGGGCAGACTTGCAGCAGCCCATATCACAGTGGTAGTGGGAGACTAAAAGGTCCTTGCAGAGTTTCTTCATGAAATATGCAGAAGCAGTGTGGTAGATGCAGAGTGACCCCTACCAAGGCCAAGTCCTTTATCCCTACCTTGACTTATTTGAAGAGGTTTGTTTTCACATGTGACTGACCCCAAGAGGGCAGTCTTAGAACATGCTCAATTCTAACTATTCCAGATAATTTTTTAAAAAATTAATAAACGTTATTTTGGGGCATTTTTAAGTTCACAGAAAAACTGAGCAGAAAGTAGAGAGTCCCCATTTACCTCCTGTCCCCACACATGCACAGCCTCTGCCACTTTCAACACTCCATCCCAGAGTGGTAGGTTCCAATCAACTATCACTGCTACCCTGATACATGGTTTACATTAAGTTCTGTGTGTTTTTGCCTCATGCACATTGTGTGTACATGCAACTCTACTGTTAGTTACATACCCATTAAGGATTGTTGAATCTTCTTGGAGTATACTGACCACTTTATAATTATGCAACATCCCTCATTATCTCTAATAACTTTCCTTACTCTGAAATCATCTGTCTGAAATTAATAGAGGTATTCCCTTTCTTTAGGTTAATGTTAACATGGTATAACTTTCCCGTACTTTTACTTTTAATCTTTATGTGTCTTTATATTACCTAAAGTGGATTTCTTATAGACAATGTATTATTGGGTGTTCGTTTTGGATAGACTCTGACATTCTGTCTTTTAATTGGTGTTTAGATCATTGCCCCTGTTCTTTGTTTTTATTTTAACTGACACATTTTTGTGTTGCTTTAAGTGAACATTTTTTTATGATTGTATTTTCTCTTTCTAAGCATATCAATTATATAGTTTTTTTACTTAATATTTTTAGTGGTTGCTCTAGAGTTTGCAATATACATTTACAACTAATCCAACTTTGTTTAAATAACATTATAATACAGCACATAAAATACTGTTATTTAATGTTAATCATAATGTTAATTATATTATAAATATGTAAGTATAATTATATAATTATATTAATTATAACATTAAATAACAACCTTATAAATACAAAATACCCCTGCCCTGGCTGCTGTGGCTCAGTGGATTGAGTGCTGGCCTGCGAAACAAAGGTCTCCAGTTTGATTCCCAGTCAGGGCACATGCCTGGCTTATGGGCCAGGTCCCAGTGTAGGGCATGTGAGAGGCAACCACACACTGATGTTTCTCTCCCTCTTAAAAAAATAATAAAAGAACAAAATATTCCTAATTCCTCCCTTTTGTCCCTTGTATCATTGATGTCATTCATTTCATTTATACATAATCATATGTCAGGATACTTTTATATATATATATATATCATACAATCAATACATTATATGTATTATTTATTGAAAAAGCTGTAATCTATTCAATTAATTAAAATAAGAAAAGTGAAAGTTTTAGTTTTACTCTCATGTATTCATTTTCTGATGTTCTTCCTTTCTTTAGATAATCTGCTTCTAACCTATATCATTTTCTTCCTGTGTGAGATGGGGGAGTTCTATGTCAGGTCTCAGTCTTTTGGTGGGCCTGTGCTCCTGAACTGTGAGTTGACCATGGCTTCTCAGCATCTTCCCACACTCTTAGGTAGGACAGGATGGGTTGGAGTTGAGTATTTCCCTTTACCCAGGTATACTAGGCTCTGGTAAAGTAGTTTCTCCTGAGGGTAAATTTTGGTGCCCTGAGGTATATTTCAAAGTGATTATTGTTCCCCTCTTCCTGCTGGAATCCTGGGGAAATTTTCACTGATCTTTACTGTGAATACCTATTACAGCTCCTGAAGGTAAAACTCATGAAAATATGGGTTCCCCTCCCCTGACAACTGGGTGCCTTGGAGATCTCCTCTCTCAGGCTTCTCTACTGAGCCTGTAGCAATTCACCAGTTGGGTTCAGGTTTTCCTACCCTAGTATTGGTTCCTAAGGATATTTCTTCTTAGTGGTTTCTACTCAGGTAAGTCGTATCTGCCTGTCTGTCTCTCCAGTTTGGGAGGCACCAGTTTGTCCTATGCAGGGTAAATGGAGGCACTCTGGCTCCCTCACCCAGAGGTCTGGGGAACTAAGATAAGCTGTGTTCTCATAGCCTTGACACTGGGTCCAATAAACAGTTACCATAACATTAAGTGAGCTCACATGCACAGAATCTTGCTACCTTACACAATATTTTAGATTCCTGCTTGCTTTGTCTCTATTTAGTACATAAGGGGGTTGTGCTCCATGTTGGGAGACATGCAGATTGTAGCATGTGTGTGTCACTCACCCTTGAATAAAGGCACATCAGACATCCCAACAACTCCATGAATATTGCTCCATCTGCCTGAATCCCATGAACCTGTCCATCCTCGACAGGCTGCAAGACACTCTGTGACTTTACTTCTCTGACAGATCTAAGAAGAGTTGTTGATTTTTCAGTTTGTCCAACTTTTATTGTTTGGTTGGAGTGTAGACTTCTAAATGGCTTACATGCCAGATCAGAAACCAGCAAGCAGTCTTTTAGGTTCATTCTGAGTAGTAAATAAATAAAGAAGAAGAAGAACTTGCAAAGGTGAAGGAGTCAAATGCAAACTAAATGTGACAAAACAAGTCGTAGCTCTGAAAGCCCACTTTAAGAAGAAAAGCACTGAAACAAGAAAGGGAAGTCGGCGTTGGTCACCCAAGCTGCATTGCTCATGCCAACACTTGGTTTTTCTTCATATCAATTTTTCCCTCTTCTTTTTCTACTTAAAAATAAACTGTTTTGCTCATAGACTTCCTATCTTTGTTTATTTGTTTTTCATATCTAAGTCTTGAGTTTGGGGGTAACTTGTTTCAGTTCATGTCTATTCCCACCCAATATAGTTTCTTCATTGATTTATCAGACATTTCACTTTGTTCTTCCTCATTATGAGAAAAAATGCTAAAGCTTGAAGCAAGTAAATTTCCTTTCAGTAATTGGGGACCTTCCAGGATTGGGAAATTGCTACGCTTTAGAATGAAAAGCTAATAAAACCCCCAATGTAAATATTTAGTGGTTTGGTAAAGAAAGAACCTCAAATACTATGTGGAAGACAATTTAAATTAGTTTTAAAGTGCTCAATATAGAAACCTGTTTGACCTGTTAAAACAGGTGCGGAGAATCTCTATGCCCCAGTAAAAGATGCAATGAGCAAAACTTATAAATTCAAGACAAATACACTGGGGCATGAGAACTCCAAACCAATAGGTTGAGAATTTTATAAAGTGCTCCCAGAGTGTAGAGCCAGTGACCCTAGTCACGATCTGTCAGTTGTCAGGGAACTGGAGAATAAGTATCTATGTACCTTCTCAGAGAGAATTCTTGGCAGAAATTTAGGGCTGTTGCTTAATTGTTTAGAGTAGGAACACTCAGTTTCTTTTTAGTAACTTATTTTCTCAAGTTGTAAAATGATATAGTGCATTTGTTTAAGTGAATATGCTAATGCTGGCCTTTAATTTCATGTAGCAACATGAATTAATGCAACAACAATGCTAAATTGTTATTTAGATAAAAAGGCAATTTACAATACATCTTCCATTCATCAAAGTACAAAGTATGTACAAAAAAAATGCAGATTGGTCTTCCAGAACTGCCCCCTCATGGAGATTTTTTTTTATTGTTAAGATAACCAATTTCCCAAAACAAGTTGGTATGTGAATATCTGCACTTATTTCTTGGTTGGCCATGTATCTGCCAACTCACACACCAACTTAAATGAATTTCCAACACTTGTTTTCTTTTCACCATTTTGAATATTGAAAGTAGGCATAAATATTTTGAAGGTATAACTCCTTGTTATCTTTCCCATTCACCTTTGACAATGGCAGAATAATAGAAGGCATGATCTTTAATTGTCAGCAATGACAGATGTACTGACAAATGGAAATAAAATTGAATTATATTTTGATTGTACCTTCTCTGGCAGCAGATAGCAGAGGCTTATTAATATTCTAAAAGAAAAGTTGTGAAACAAATTTGTGATCATAGACAATTTTATTGTTAGGAAGACATTTTTATTTTTATTTCCTCTTATCTCCCATTTAGGCCAGATATGCAAGGCGAAGCAGGCACCAGAGTGTTCTTGCACAGACATAGCTTTTTCCCTACTTAGGAACCCTCACCAAGCATTTGTACTTGAACCTAGAAATGTCGCCAGGTTATTCTGGGGCAAGGAAGCCACAGATGTAAAATTAAACTGCATGGTAAAACATTGAATAACTATTACATTATTTTACATTTTCTGGTCAATTAAAACATTTAAAATATATAGAAGTAAACATGTAATAAATAAACTTCACATGCCTGTCACTGATATTCAATAGTTATAAACTCATGGCCAATCTTATTTCATCTACATTTTCTTACACTTCCATAGTACATTCTTTTGAGCAAATCCCAGACATGTAAGTTTAGCAGTTTGTACTCTAGAAGACAAGGACTTTCTCATCTTTTTAAATATGTATATATCTCCACATTGCTATTGCCACCAATAAAAAAGTCCTTAATATCCCCAAATATCTACTCCATGTACAAATGTCATTGTCTCTTTTTTTCTCTTTATTTGAAATTTAAGTAGTCCTCAGTTTGCACAGTAGTTTGGGACTATAATAATGACCATGCAAAACCAAAAACAATTTAAATAATTAATGGGAAAGATTATGATTATTCCACAACCTTTAGATATATTAAAATTAAAATGCTGACTGTTGGTTATAAATATGTAAAAAAATTAAAATGTTGCCCTGGCTTGTGTGGCTCAATGGATTGAGCACCCACCCACAAACCAAAGGGTTGCTGGTTTGATTCCCTGTCAGGGCACATGCCTGGGTTGCAGGCCAGGTCCCCAGTAGGGGGTGTGCAAGAGGCAACAAACATTGATGTTTCTTTCTCTCCCTTTCTTTCTCCCTCCCTTACCCTCTCTCTAAAAC